CTCTCTCTCTCTCTCTCTCTCTCTCTCTCTCTCTCTCTCTCTCTCTCGTGTGCTGCTGTTATTATTTTTAATCGTCCGAAGCTGATGTCAAAATCTATAACACAGTTACTGACGCTGGGTATGTGAGACTTCCATTTGACTCTCCGTCTGCAATCATATTTTTATTCTCTTTGTTCAACTCAAGTTTTTTTTTATTGTTCTAGGCTTTTAAAAAATGTGAAAAAATTCAGGATTACTTTTCAACATCTCTATTATTAGGTGTATAAATTATTAATTCTCGGCCTTTTTTTTAGTGAGAATTAAGGTTTACTCACATAGAGTGAAATTATGCTTCAGTCATGAAAGTAATCTCCACCAAAATCGACACATTTCTTTCAGGAAGCTGGAGGATCCCCATTCGATAAAAATACGGCGGATTCAATGAAATCTTTAACGTAATTTTCTACTTTGTATGTTTTAAAGTGTGAGTCTGCAAGGTGATGTTGAAGGGATAGAAATAAATGAAAATTTATCGGTGCTAAGTCTGGTGAATACGCCGGGTGTGGCAAAACTTCCCAGTCCAGCAAATTAAGAGTCTTTAGTCGCTTTTGCCGTGTGAGGTGGGGATTTGCGGAGAAGCATAAACTATCGATATTTTGTATCAATATGAATCAAAATACGCAATATCGATACGGCAATATATTGATTGGAAATGATTCGATATTCGGGAATATCGTTACTTTTTTTGCATATTTTATTATATAGAGACGTGTGGAGAGCACGAACTTTCGATTTTAAAGAAAAATTGAAAAAAAATCACTAGGTAAATTCACTAATTTATCAATAAAATTATAAATATTTTAGTAAATTTATATAACATACACAAATAGGAATGGGAGAAAGATTGATGAGAATAAAAAATTATGCATTTATACATTTTATACAATACATATATTCGTCATTTTATACATATAAGTCTATTAACTAACAAAGATAATGTGAAACATAAAATTTCTTTTAATGTTATTCATGATGGCGTTGATCGCGATGTCGTAAACTGTCCCCGAATTGACATCCTTGTTACGTTTATGCGGTTGAATTTTGGAAATACAACCTCCGTATCGAATCAATTGATATCTACGTTCCAGATCCAATATGCTACGATACGGAAACTAAAAATTTCGATGCAAATATCGAATATCAAAAGGGGTAATGATACGATATTTCAAAATATCGATTATATCGGAACATTCCTAGTGTGAGGTCTTGCGTTGTCGTGCAGTAATATTACCGGTCTAGGCTCTTTGCCAGTAAAAGGTCTTTCACGTTCGATTTCATCACTCACACGCTGAAGTTAATGTTTGTAGCGTTCAGCAGTGACAGTTTCATTCGGTTTAAGCAATTCAAAATATATCACACCCTTGAAGTCTCAAATGCATAAAAGAACTTTTTTGCCATGAATATTGGATTTCGCGATCGAAGACTCACCTGGATTCACCTATGATTTTCGTCTTTTTGGGTTATCGTAATACACCCACTTTTCATCTCCTGTCACTGTTTTGTGCAGGAAGTCCTTTTTAAATCGAGAAAGCAAAGACAGAGTCATATCATAGGGTCTCGCTTTGTTGTCTACGGAAAGAACGTGCGGAATCCAACGGCCCTCTTGAATTTTTCCCAGCTTTCGCAACCAAATAGAAATGGCTGGCTGAGTTACTTTTAATGCTGAAGCAAGTTCAGATTCGGACTGGCATGGGTTTTCTGCCAATAACTGCTCCAAATCATCATCTTCGAACTTCTTTGGTTGTCCAGGCCGTTCGTCATCTTTGAGATTAAAATTTCCATTCCGAAACTTGTGGAACCATTTTTAACACGTACCTACTATAGGATATAGCATTCTCTCCTAATGCCAAACAAATCATTTCCTTCGCCTCGGAAGCATTTTTTTTCAATTGAAACGCGAAAAGTAAACAGTGTCTAATATGTACTTTGTTGCATGACATCGTGTTGCTTACTGTCACGGTCAATTTTTTGAGGTGTCGATTGAATTTCGAATCTTGTAGTTCCATTAGGTTGATATTATTCAGTACCAAACTTCGCGTGAATAAGTTTTCGCTTAAATAAGTGCTGCAGTTTATTAAATGTTGGGGCCGAGAATTAATTTATACAGCGCTAATACATTACAAAATAATTTTTTAACTAGAGATACAATACTTTAGGAGAAGTAACTGGACTCCACCGAATAAATTTGAAAATGAAATTTCCCTTATACTAAAAAAAATCCATATTGCAGTTAATTATGTAAAAAGCACTAATTAATTTCAAGGATCGAAAATCACATAACTCGTACAAAAAAAATTAATGCAAAGTTTATTTTAATAACAATAATTCAAATAATATGAATATAATTGATGGGTCCAATCGTCAGGTCTGAAGGATTAAACGTAAGAAGAGACATAATATAAATTATAATTTAATAAAAAAATAAAGTAAAATCTGTGCATTGAGCTAAAATAATCAGTTTACACGCTATCTATTAGTAAGTACTTGGATTAGATATTATGCGTTCAGATACTTCGTGCGGAAGTTTCCGATTTGTGTTCGATCATGTTGAATCCTGTCGGATCGTGTCTGTGTAACGGACAGTGTCGATAAGCGTTGCATGTAGTATGTATATGGGTTTTATTTGACGTCGGGGCTACGTCAAAGTTCCGAGGAAGTTTCACACTTTCGGTGCTCCCGTGTCCGCCCAACTTTGCTTCGACGGCTACGTTGAAACGCCGCCGTCATTGTGAAACGCTGCCAAGGGTTGACGGCGGGACTCCTCAGGTGTGACCAGGTAACTCTCCGGGGACTGACTTGCCGGAACTGTCGCGACCGGTGTGTGTGACCGGCGAGATCAATTTGATAAACGTCAGCTGGGCGAGAGCACCTGAGAAAGAAGCATCGAACTTTATGGATTTCATCATTACTTATTCCTGCCTTTAGTTTCTTCCTCGACATGTACACGTTTACGCTTTTCAATCTTTAAATGGCTAAAACGATTATATAATAGGAATGCCGAAAGTCGCGGATTTTACGAGTATGACTTTTTATCGCTTATTTGCTACAACAACGACACAATTTAAAAAAGGAAGTTTTCTAAATATAATGAGTGTTTTTGAGTGAATTTTAATGTTTTGAGTCATAAAAATTATATATTATTTTGAAATGCAGTTTTCATGTAATAACTAATAAATGATTGTAGAAGAATAAAAGTATGTTTTTTTTAAATATAACACAAATAATTAAGTTTCTCAGGGGAAAGAGAGAAAAAACTATTTTTCAATTTGATAAAAAGTTATTGACTAATGAAATAATATCGCGGCAAAAAGAATACATTCTCAACATAATCAAATATTTTTGTCATTTTCGTTTTACAATCTTTAAAAAAACCGGTCTTTTTGAGTCGTGACGATTTTTTTTTTTGGGACCACCCTTTTTGAGTTGTGACCATTCGAAGTTAATTAGTTCACTTTTGATGATTGATTGGATAATGTTTATATCTAACTCGTTCATAGTACTCAATATAGTAATAACTCGAAAATCATTTTTACACAGAAAAAAAAGATTGACTGCTGCAGCAAATTAGATGGTAAAATATGGCATAGCATTTTTAATTGGCTGCAGCTAATTTTTGATTGCGTTAGCCTATCCGCAATGTTAGTATAGGATTTCGATAGGCTAACACAACCAAAAATTGACTGCTGCAACCAATTAAAAATGCTATGCCATATTTAACCATCTAATTTACTGCAGCAGCCAATCTTTTTTTTCAGTGTAGTTGCATCATTTTTGAAGTAAAGGAACAATGCTTTTTTTTATATTTCCATTCTTTTTCTGTAAGCAACTAAAAATGACATTTTGTAAATTACGTCATTATTGCAGGAAATGAGCGATATACACTTACAGAGCGACAACAATTTTGCAATGTGAACAAATCAGGCGCTACACCGGGAAGAGGAACGATACCAGCGCATCGCGAAATAACCGTCGTGTTGCGCAAGTGCCGGCGCTATACGAAGCTTTACTTAACGGTATATACAAGAAAGGAAAATATTTCTTCCAAGCTCACGTAGAGCGCAGCCTGTTATCTCGTCCCTCCACAGAATATTACGGGTATCGTTCCGCGTAGTGACTCGACTTTCTCCTCCTCCACCGTGCTCCAATTACCTACCTAGCTTCCCTGTCTCTTTTTCCCTCTGCCCTCCGCATTGCTTTCCGTCCGCGTAAATCCGACGCTGTCCGGACGAAATTCATCAACCCTTCGCGTAGAGCGGTAGAGAGCCCGGGGGTCGGTCTCCATCCCCGCGTCGCGCGAGGGAGGGGTTCGCATTCCTCGGCTTGTACAGGAAGCACGCACACGTACTGTGCATAAAACCGAGCAGCGCCGGCATCGAGGGTCGGTGAGTGGTAGTGTGGTTTCGTGTCCGTCGTGTTCAACGACTTCCGTCGTTGCATGCCACGCACGAGATTCCGAAAGTACTGGTCAGCCGTGTTTCACGTCGCGACGCTTTGCTGACAGTGTGCCACGCGGCAATACCCAGTTATTTCTCCCCTGTTTTTTTCCCTTGATTCCGTCGCGAATTACACCTGGGGAATGTTTGTCGGACGCGTGAGAGGTGACCAAGCAGAATTTCGTCGCGTGTCTTTTTTTCTATTTTTTTTTCAGCGAAAGACTAGCAGTAAAACTGTGGAAACGGAAAGAATGACTCGCTTCGCGGCGTAATACGTTCTTTGTACGCGCAGAGAGAACCCCGAGCTCGGTGTAACTGTAAATGGAAATTCGCACGCGCGAGGGAAAAGTTTCGGAATTCATTACGGAGTATCGGGCGACGGGCGGGACACGTTATCGCGATATCGTGTTTATCGATAATAGAAAATCTCTGTCTCGCGCACGCACGAAAGGGGCGGCGTCACGCGTACGCGCGCGAGAAGAAAGGCGCGTGACATCGTCACGCGGCGAGCGAGTCGTCGTGTTTTCTTCGCGTTCCCCTTTCTGGCTTTTAAAGGGCCGCTCCGAGGAAACGGAAAAAAAAAAAAGAGCGGAAAAGGGCATTTAAGAACGTACGTGAATCTGTACCCTGAATAACACAAAGACCCCCCCCCCCCTGATGGCAGTGGAGTTCCGTTCTTGCAGTTTTGTGGTGCGGACTTAATGGCGTAGATAGCCACTCTCGCCGCGCGACTCCCGTCCTTTCTCTTCTACCTCTTCTACTTCGTTCTCGAGAATCGTACTCTTTCTTCGTGCGGAAACGCGATTGATTCGGGCCTGCCGTTCTCGAAATGTTCGTAGCTTCCGAAGCCGTTCGGCTCGTTTGTCCTACGAAACGTCTTAAAACAATTTTACCAGAAGCACTCAGTCCTCTTTTGTGCGCGCTAGATTAGATATCCTTCCGAGTGGATGATAAGTATAATTAATTAATTTGAATTGCGGCGCAAACTACAATCGCGGGATAATCCGGTAATTCCGACAAATGCGATTCTGTCGCGAGAAACGAACGGAATACATTGCGAATTTATCGTGTTACCGTAAATAGCAATTTTCAATACAGGAAGATGCGTGGGTTAATTTTATCTTTATAAAATATTCTTCAGGAAGTTGTAAATATCTTACGATTCCTTAGCTTGACCTATCTTCTTCGAAAAATTTACTTCGCAACTTCGCGAGCGCCATAAATTTTCCTTCGCTAAAAACGATAACGCAGTAATCTATCAGAAACTTTTTAGACGAGCACAAAATTTCGCTTATTAAAATTAAAAAAGTTAGATTGAACATTATGTAGGTATCTAGTTTTTATTTAAGCCCTTCAACGCTTTGGCATTAACGTACACAATAATTACGTGTCCACAATAATGTCACGTAATACATAATTAAATTTGGGCGCGTAATTGAACTACTCTGAAATTAATTTGTATCTAAATTTTATCGGTGCCATTTGTGCGATACAAAATTTATGTGACACGGCCAATGGAATACATATCGTATCGTCGAGAACGGATTAGAGATAGGTTCGTGGATTCAAGCATATCGATCTATCGCTCAGTAGATGCTGACCTCCCTAATGGGGACAATCGCTAATCGGCTCATCACGCGTCGGTTTCTCATGGTAATATATGATGGACAAAATGCCGTCCGGCCTGTCTGTTAGCGTAACAACGGCATTACCGCGCGCATATATACCCCATACAGTGTTTGTATCGGAATCAATACGATGCCGTGCAATGGCAGCAACAGCGCAAAGCGCGGCTGACTGAAATCTGCGTGTAATGTTACAAGATGCATTATTCTCGATAACAGGGCGAATAACTCGCAGCCCATGATTGTTCCTTTGTACGGGGGAAAAAGAAGAGGGAAAAATCATCTCGAGGAAGGATGAACGAGTAACATCTGTAACAAACCTAGCCATTCATCATGTATCTCTTTCCTGATATCTTGGAATATGTGTTCTTCGAGAACGGCCACGTAAATATGTATTTACCAATAAATGCTTTTCGACAAAGGAACGGATGAGGCGAGCATTGCATTCTCCATCGAGGAATAATTAATTAGTTTTTCTTGTGTATATAGGTTTTCTACATTTTCTCTCGTTAACGCTCGTTTATTAACGATAATTAACTGCGAATTGTGTTCACGGTAGTCCTCTTTGGTAAATCCTAACGCGCGCAGTCTTACTTCATTAGGCGAGTTGTATCAAACACAAGCTCGATCGTGCCACTCATTATGGGAAACGCCGCGCTCGTTACCGTATACAACGCCGTATATACCCGGAATCGATGCATACGACGACGGGAACGCACAGCGGCAACACAGTGGCGCAAATCAGCCGGTCTAACCCCGACGGCGTCGCCGTCAGCGCGCCGCTGCACGAAGTGCATTATTATCAGCACTAAAGCGACCAGGGAGGAAAAGAGAGAGAGAGAGAGAGAGTGAGATAGAAGAGAGTGCGGTAATGGGCGTACTCCGCGGTGCTTTTCTGTCGTGTCTTTATCGGATACACGCATGTACATGCTCCAGCTGGAGGGAGAGATCTGTCGCTTTCCGTCGTATCCTCTTCTTCTCCCATACCCCTTTTTTTTTCGCCGTCTCGTCGCCTCCTCTTTCAGTCGACCCACCCGTTGCCCTCTCTACGCGCGAATGTGCCAGCTCTTTTTCTCCCCTTCCTTCACTCACGTGTGCCTTCTTTCTGTCGGAATCCATCCCTCTGTTAGGATAATCATCACAGAGGAATTTTATAGAGACCGTTGCTCGTTGCTCGTTAAAGCATTTAGTGTCTGCGTCCGGCGCGATAGCCCGGCAGTCTTTATCCTATCTACTTCCACTTTTCTTCTTTGTATTGCGGTTCCGTGCGTGGAACTTATAGATTCTTCGATCGGATTGTGTGGAAATGACGGATTATTTATCGATATGAAATCGAATAATCGTTTAAATATCCTACAGACAGAGTCATAAGTATGTTTTAAAATTTGTGAGCGTGTTCTTGGATAGAAAGGAAGGACAAATGTTGATGAACATTAAGTCATAAATATTTCGTTGATGAAATGATGGACATGAATACAGTAATATCAAACAATGATAATTTATTTAAAAATTTTTGATAGATATTTTTTGTTTGCAAGAGATGTTTAGTGTATTCTATAATTTTCCACATATATCTAAACATGACGTACACATAATTAGAGTGATTGTTTCGAATCTATTTGTGCTATTTCGATAACATATTATTATTAACACAATATTATTAACACAATATTATCAACACAATATTATTAACACAAATTATATTTTGATAACAAAAGCGTTTGCATTTCCTAATGTTTATAGTGATATTTATTCTTCCTTTTTAGTCGGGAACAGAAGTTTACAAAATTTTAAAAAACATATAATCTTTA